AGCCAGCTGCCGACCCCAGCATCCAGCCCCAGGAAGACACGTGAACACACAAAAGTCACTTTTGTGTAGAATCCCTTTCTCTCCCACTCACACAAACACACATTGACTCAGACATCTCAGAAATACGCTCATGAACACGCAGAAGTGAAGACACACCAGTTTCCAGTCTAGCCACCCTTGGGTAAAAACATGCAGACAGACCCCTCCACGGCCTTCGGGATGTGGGGTGCAAAGCTGGGAGGGGGAGGGGGCTCACCCAGCGGCAGACATAACGTGTCCAAAGCCACGGACATCCTGGCGGTGAAAGTGCGCCAGCGAACGGGACGCGAGTGACCCGCGCGGCTTCCCCAGCCACAGTCGCTGGCAACCGGATCACCATCCCGGGAACGCCGGTCAAATTTATCGACTTGGGGTGCGCGTGTGACGCGGGGGGCACAGACCGGACTGGTATTAGAGCTCTCCAGCCCCTCGGGCCACTGCGGGAAGAGGCGGCTGGGGTGGTGAAGACCACCGTGGGGGGGACAGGGCCCCACCGCCCGGCGGTATTTAGTCGGCTGAGAGGGAGGAGCCTTCCCGAGGAAGAGTTTGGCTGGGGAAACTGAGGCGTCTCTCTCTCCATTAGCTAGGAGGCCCCATCGCACACCAGGACCTCGACGAGGTTGGGACGGGGTCTTGATAGTGGGGGTGGGGCCCGGCAGGCGAGAGGACCGCACAAAAGGGGAGGGGCCTAAAGGACGCGAAATGGTCAGACGCCCCCGGCCGCTGAGTCCCCAGGGAAGTCAGACTAGGGAAGAGGGTGGGTTGAAAGCTTGGACTGGGAAGAAGGCACAGGGCTCTGGTAAGGAGCGAGGATTTTATTTTTTTAATATATATATATTTATTTTTCAATATATCGTTATTGATTTCAGAGAGAGGAAGGGAGAGGGAGAGAGAGCTATTGATCAGCTGCCTCCTGCACGCCCCGCACTGGGGATCGAGCCCGCAACCCGGGCACGTATCCTGACCAGGAATCGAACCTCGATCTCCAAGATCATCGGTCGATGCTCAATGCCTGCGCCACACCGGGCGGGCGGGAGCGAAGAATTTAGAGGGGAGACAATAGAAGGGCGGAGCCTGGGCAGAGGGTGGAGCTGGACCAAGAAAAATAGAAAAGTGGGTAGGGCAGGAGGGTGAGCTCAAAGGGACGGCTGCGGAGGTGGGCAGGGCCTACGGAGAATGACCGCGAAGTACGCGGGACCGGGGAGTGGGCAGGGCCTGGAAGGTTAATGTGGGGGGAGTGGGCGGGGCCTAGAGAGAAGGAAGGGAGGTGAATGGAAGTGGGCAGGGCCGGGGGGGGCTGATGACTAGAAGTGGGTGGAGCCTAGGGAGAAAGACAGGAAAGTGGGCGGGACCGAGAGGCTGACGGCTGGGGGATTGGGCGGGGCTTAGAGATAATGACAGGAAGTGGGCGGGGCCGGGGAGTGGGCAGGGCTTGGGAGGCCCGGGTCCCTGAAAGGGACGGCCCACCTTTTTCAGGGTTCTGCTGTCAAAGTCACGTCAGAGTTGGTGATAACTCCGCGCCGGGCATTCCACAGCTTGGGCGATTCCCTGGTGGTGATTTTCTGGCTGAGAGCCGTCACTGGGCGGGACGGAATCCTTCCCTCTAGGGCAGTGGTCGGCCACCCCTCCCCCGCCGGGTGCCCTCGCTGCGCCTCACTGGTCGCGCGCGGACCAATGGGAACCCGCCCCTGGTCTCGCTCCTTCTCGGGTCCCAGGACCGCATCGGCCCCCCTCGGACCAGGCGCTGCGTGGAGTAGGGACGGGCGAGGGTGTTCTGTCCCTCTCCCGCTAAACTCGGTTCTGTTTAGGCGCTGAAGGACCCTGCCGGATCCGGCTCTGGGCGACCGTCCCCCTCCTCCCCCGTCCCCACTTTCCTCCCTCTGCAGGCTTTGCATTTGAGGCGGAAGACCTAGAAGCACCTTTTCCCCGCTTCAGCCAGACCCCCTCTCCTCGCCAGCTCCATGCTGCTCTGGACCGCTTCACCAGGGGGCGCCCGCAGCCTGCACCGGGCGCTGCTGAAAAGAAGGATCTGGAGCGACTCTTCCTCGAGCACGCCCACGCCTTTCTTCCCTCTCCGGCGTGCGTCTTTACTTTTCTCTCCGAAACTCTAAGGACCCCCACAAGACTTGCAACCAGGGGAGCAACGGGCAGCAGCGGCTCCTCCGGGACTTACCCCCTAAACCTGCCTCCAAGGCCCCTTTTCTCTAACTTTTCAGTGAGCTAATAGCAGCCCTACCATGGCTCAGTTCTCTCCAATAACATTTCTAGAAGCAACAGGCTCTCTTCTACACTAAGCCCTCCCTTTGTTTCACTGTTCCCAACTTTAATAAAGGTACTCTGAAAAAAAAAAAAATAGAAAAAAGAAAGAGCCAGGCCGGTGTGGCACAGTGGTTGAGCATCAACCCATGAACCAAGAGGTCGTTGGTTCAATTCCGGTCAGGGCATATGCCCAGGTTGTGGGTTGCGGCTGGATTCCCAGTAGGGGCATGCAGGAGGCAGCCAATGGATGATGGTTCTCTCTCGTGGGTGTTTCTATCTCTCCATCCCTCTCCCCTTCTTTCTAAGAATCAATAAAAACATATTTTTTAAAAAAGAAAAAGGACCCTTTGGTTCCTCAAGGGAAGGAGGGACAGGTACACAGAAAGAGAGCCTGGGTTCCTTCTAGAAGGTGGTGGATCTTGAGCAGTTTGAAGGATGGAGCCTGGGTCTCCACTGTGGAAGAGGCCTGGGTTCCTTCAGTTGTGTTCCCTTGTGTTTTGTGTCTTTATTTCAAGTGTCTTGCTGGTCCCTCCAGGTCTGTCTGCTGTGTCTCTGATTGCCTGCCCCAGAGCGTTTGAGTCTCTCTGAGGCTATGTGTTAGTGGGTATATGTGACTATGGCCATGAGTGTGTGCTGTGTCTGTTGGTGGCTAGCTTGTGTGATTGATCTTGTGTATCTAGATTGTGTCCCTGGGCATCTGTCTCAGTGTGTGACTGAATATGTGTTGTGTATCTCCAAGTCTGTTTTAGTATGTGTGTGATAGTGTGTGTGACTGTTCTATTCTCCATGTGCTTGATGAGATATGCCCTGAAATATGTATCTTTTGTGTCCCTGTGTGTGCTTGTTGGCTAGCTTTGGTGGCTGCTCCTGTGTATCTATAACTGTGTATCCAGATATGTGTGTGTGTGTGTGTGTGTGTGAGTGTGTGAGAGAGAGTGTATGTGTATGTCTTTGTGTGTCTATTTCATTTGTATAATTGCATAGCCTGAATAGGGATGTCTTGTACCTGTCTTTGTGGTAGCTGCCTCTGGGCAAGTTGGAGAGTCCCTTCCAGATAATAGCCCAGCTGAGACTTCCTTCCTAGGGCAGGCTGGCCTGCTTCCCAGCAGAATGAGCTGACTTCTCACGAGGGGCCTCTCCAAGGGGTCCCCAGGGCCCTTCCCTGGTCTGCCTGGGTGTTCCCCATCTCTGTATTACTCCACTGTCCTTATCAGGGAAACACGATTTCCTGTCTTTGATGTCACTGGTGCTAAATTTTCCCTTCCAAACAGCTCAGGCCACTAGTTTCTTTTTTTGTGTGTGTGCACCTGACTACGATTTTGTGCTTAATATATAAAAAACAAAACAAACAGTAACACATGGAAAATGCAAGTGGGCCAAAGTACATACAGCCAAAGGTCCAAATTCTCTCAGCCCAAATCCCCCGTTTCTTTTATACCTTCCAGAAATGGACTATGCAAATGTGAAATAAACACCACATTCTGTAGGTAGCACTATTTTTTAACCCAAAAGAGATTACTCAACCTTCACACCTGTGATTACTGAACTGATTTTCAAACAATCTGACAATTTCGCTTTTGATTACTGTTTTGGCTATTTTCACCTGAACATTTTTGCAGTTGGTGTCTGTGCTAGTTTTTGGACCCTGCTTGTTCATTCGCAAGATTAACCCCTGTGTACAATCACACAGAGCCACCAGACTGGCAGCCCCACTGGCAGCCATTATGGCTAACCCAACAGAGCACCTGCTGTATGGCAAATGCTTTTCTGGTTCTCTATTTTTTTTTTTTTTTATAAGGGACCATTAAAAACAAATCTTTACTGATTTCAGAGAGAGGAAGGGAGAGGGAGAGAGAGAGAAACATCAGTGATGAGAGAGTCATTGATCAGCTGCCTCCTGCACTCCCTGGACTGGGGATCGAGCCCACAACGCAGGCATGTGCCCTGACTGGGAATCCAACCACGATCTCCTGGATCCTAGGTCCATGCTCAACCGCTGAGCCATGCCCAGCTGGGCTGGGGCTCTATTCTTGACAATAATCCTATGAGGTGGTCACTGGTGTTAGCTACACTTCCCAGATGAGAAAAGCAAGGAACAGAGAGGTGACAGAATTTTCTCAAAATCATACAACTAGCAAGAGGCAGAGCTGGGATTTGAAGCCACACAGTTTGTGTTATTTGCTGTTTCTCAACTAGAAATACACATGCGAACACATGGAATCTCCTTTCCTCATCTCTAAACACACATCACATTGGAAACACATGAGTCCAGAGTAGCCTGGGATTCACCCCACCTCCACAAAGCTTCAGCGCTTTGTACCAACATGCCTTGCAGCATTCCCACAATACCACAGGTGCACACACATGCTGGGCCTGTGTTTTCCTGGCCTATCTAGGACCCAGCTTTTCCAGAGACTTGACTAACGTAGACAATGCAATCCCCCACTCTGTGCCTCTTTCCTCCTTCAACACATGTTTCCACTCCCACAGACCTCACTAAATTCTTTCCTTCTCCTTTTTTTCTTTTTCTCAATTCACATCTCCCCTGCCCCCAATTTGGTTCTTTGCCCACTTGCTTGTACACTTACTCTGCAAATATCACTAACATTCTTTGTTGGGCTTTGCCTCTGCCCTGGGGGAGACAGAGGTTTCAGGCCAGTAAAGTTGATACTGGGGGAGGCCACATGCAGGGGATGGGGGCAATGGGGAACCCAGAGAAAAGGAGAGAGGAGGTATCCTCAGAGGTGGAAGGGGGGGCTCCCCCATTCAGCTACTTCCTGCTCAATCCCTCCCTTGAGCCCTATGATGGTGAGCGTGAGGATTCAGGCCCTACCCCTAGAGATGAGGAAAATGGGCCCACGTTCACCTCCGGGAGACTGCTGAGCCACAGAGGTGCTAGATTGGTAATGCTGACAGCTCCATGGTGGGCGGGGCTGCCTGGCTCAGATGTCCCAACCACAGCTGCACGTCATGGTGCTCCCAGGCTGCGGCCAGAGCCTTCCCCAGGCTGCCAGACTTTGTTTCCCCTCTCTGGAGGGAGAATACAGAACTATGCCAAGCTCCTCAGTGTGGAGAGTTCAGAGCACTCACTGTGACTCCTTAGCTAAGTGCCTTCAACTTGTGGAGTCTTAGTTTCTGCATCCACATATTGGGTTGCAGAAAAGATTCTGTGACCATAACAGCTCACCTTTTTTGAGCAATTGCAAAGTGCCTGCCACTGCGTACAGTAAGCTCTCAATTGCCTTTTGAGATCTACTATTACTCCCATTTAACAGATGTGAAAAATGAGGCTCAGAGGGGGGAAGCTGCTTGCCCTCAGCAAGAAATCTGAGAGTTGAGGTGGAAAATTTTTTCTAAAATGGTCCAAAGAGAGTAAATATTGACTTTGCAGGCCAGTCTTGGCCACAACTACTTAGCTCTGCTGTAGTATTGCAAAAGCTGCTATAACACAATATGTAAATGAAGGAGTGTGGCTGCTTGCCAGTAACATTTACTGGTGGACACTGAAATTTGAATTTCATATAATCTGTACGTCAGGAAATAGTCTTCTTTTGACTTTTCCCAGACACTTAAAACCAAAATCACCAAACAAAAAAAATTCATAGTTTTCAGACTGTAGTTTGTTGCTCTCTAGAGCCCATGCTGTTAATTGTTATGCTATAATTCATTAATTTATTCACTAATTCAATAAATATTATTGAGGCCTGTAATTATCTAGACACGAGGTAGAATGGAAACAAGGCAGGTAAAGATGCTCCTCTTCAGGAGATTACTGTTTCATGGGGAAAATAATTGTAAGCAAGTAAACAAACACAAAAATATTCTAGATGTAACAGGGCTGAGGGAGAGACACTTTTATTTGAGTTGTCTGAGGTGGTGACCTTTGGAGTTCCTCTTTTTGTCTTTTTGTCAGCTTAGGCAATCTTTGGCTGTCATCTCCTGTGGGTTAGGGCTTAATAATAAACAGCCTGTCTTCTTGGCAGGGCAGTGGTGTGGAAGAGGGCCCGTTGGCCTCAGTACCTGTAAATCTTTTTTCCTGGTTGGTCAGATTCCTCGGAGATGGGTCTTTCACCATCCCATCTTTGGGGTCCTGATGCGGAGTGGGGTGAGGGTTGAGGTGGGGAAGTTTTAGCTTCTGCATTCAAGTGCACAGGTTTGCTTAATATTCCTGCGTTCAGAGTGATTCTTCTACCATTTACTGCTGTTCCTCTGACCAGAAATGCTGCCATTTCCACTCTCTGGAGGTAAAAAGAAAAGAGATACTTTTCCACCCTGATGGGAAGTGTAAAGAAAAAAAAAAAAAAGTGGACCCACTTTAAAATGGAGCTGGAGCCTGGCTGGGCATGGCTCAGCTATTGAGCATTGACCTAGGATCCAGGAGATTCCCTGTCAGGGCACATACCCGGGTTGCAACCTGATCCCCAGCCGGGGGCATGCAGGAGGCAGCCGGTCAATGACCCTCGCATCATTGATGTTTCTTTTTCTCTCCCTCTCCCTTCCTCTCTCTGGAATCAATAAAGATATATTTTTAAAAATAAAAATAAAATAAAATAAAATGGAGCTGGAGCTGCCATGCCAGAGGATCTTCCTTGTGCATCTTAAGCCTCAAACCTTTGGAATGTTAAAACAGGGCAAAATAACCTTTGGGCTTGTTTCCCAAAAGAACTGTTTGTAAAGAAAGCAGATATGATGACTTACTGGACTAATGACTACTGGACTGAAAATGAAAAACATTGTTTAGAATTGACATCATTATGTTATCTGCACCAGTAGAAATGCCTTCCACCTATTGATGTAATTATTCCCCTTCCCCTTCTCATAAATACCCCTTTGCCTTTGCCTCCTAATTGGAAGGAAGACTCTTTGGTTTTCTGCCTGAATTGGTGAGTCCTGAAGAGCTATTTCTTTTTTATTTCAAATAAATGCTTGTTGCCTCTCACTTTGAAAGGACTTTTATTTTTTGGTTAGCAGAAGAAAAGCTGATGTCTCTTTGGGGAATTTACTTTCAGCAAACTCTTCTATTTTCGCGGTCACCCATCACACTCTCCTTCCGAGTTGGCGAGAGTCACCAAAAACTGAACTTTGGGGGATAGTGGTGTGAAATTCCGAGAGGGAAATAACATTTGGCCTTCCATCCTGCTGGCTTGCCATTTTGTTTCGGGTTTTAAAACAATCACTGAACTGTCACTGTTTCAGAAGAGTGAAAGTAGGGGCTGGTGCTCTGTTCATCTTTACCCAGAAGGGCGGTTGGAACCGAGGCTGGCTGCCAATCTGGGGAAAGAACATTCCAGTCAGAGGGACTGTGGGTGTGAAGGAACAACCTGGGTACAAGGCGATGGGTTCGCCAGCTTGGGCAAACACAGGAATCTTCTGGGCGGCTCATTGAAACACCCATCGCTGGGCTTTTTCCGTTCCCAGAGGTTGGTAAACTGCGGCGCTGGCATTTGCATAGGTGCTAGAATTTGCTACTCTTGCTGGTTTGTGTATCACACTTTGTGAACCGTTCACAACGGAAGCACTTAGCACCTGTGCATGAGCACGCGCGGGGAGCTGTAATTCCCCTGCAAGGCCAGGGCCCGGCTCGCGGCGGGGGCGGCGCCGTCCCGGACAAAATCCCCCCGCGTTTCCTGGGCCGCTGCGGCCTCCGGCCAGGCCTC